AGTTGAGAGAGGGAAGCAGCACCGATGATATCATTGATATATCGGAGAAAGAATTGTGGGTGGAGGCCAGAATAGGAGTGGAACAAGAAATGTCCCATGTACCCCATAAAGAGACAGGCATAACTAGGGCCCATGCAGATACCCATGGCCACCCCTCTGACCTGAAGAAAATGAGAGGAATTAAAAGAGAAATTGTTGAAGGTGAGGATGAGCTTGGCCAAGCAGAGGAGGGTCGTATTGGGTGGGGACGGTTCAGGCCTTTGCTCCAGGAAGAGGTGGAGAGCCCTAAGACCCTCCTGGTGAATGGACCTGTAAAGGGATTGAACGTCCATGATAAAGAGGAGCCGGCTGGGATGTACAAACTGGAAGTTTTGAAATCAGCGTAAAGTGTCAGAGGAATTACAGATGTATGTGGTCAGGGATTGGACCTGGGGAGAGAAGGCTGAATCAAGGTAGGAAGAGTTGGAACATCGCAGAATATTTACATTCTGCTCACAAAAAAAACCCTGTGCTATCTGTTGCCTGCTACTTTAAAAAACCACCATGTTCCCTGGCCAACATCGCTGTCTCTGGCTTGCTGCAGTGTTCTAGAAAAACTCAACGCAAGCTGGAAGAACAACACCTCATTTTCCACTTGGGGACCCTGCAGCTCTCTGGATTCAATACTTAGTTCAATAATTTTAGGGCCTAAACTCTCCCATGTCCCAGGCCCCTACCCCACACGCCATGCCTTGTTATCACATAGCCTGCCACTACACACTACCTATTGTTAGTCTCTAAAAGACCCCACTAACAACTATTCAGGCTCTATCCTATTGTTTACTCCCTACCCTGTCGCTCTCCCTATTTTCTGCAAATAAACCAACATTTCCCAGCTACCATCAGTTCTGAGGAAGGGTCACTAGACCTGAAACGTTAACTCCGATTTCTTTTCTTCACAGAGGCTGCCAGATCTGCTGAGCTTTTCCAGCAATTTCTGTTTTTGGTCCTTTTACCTTCTGGGTAGCCCAGTCAATACAGGGGAAATAAAAATCCCCAACAAATACTACTCTATTATTCCTATAGGTATCTGCAATCTTTCTAACAGCTGCTCCTCTAGTACCCGCTGGCTATGTGGGGGCCTATAATACAGTCCCAACAGAGTGACCATCCCCTTCTTGTTTCTAAGTTCTAACCATATGGCCTCATTTGATGACCCCTTAAGAATATCCTCTCTAAGCACTGTTGTTATATGCTCCCTTATCAAAAGGGCAACTCCCCCTCCTCGCTTACTTGTACTTCTGTAATTCTTGTTTGAGGACTTCCAAATCCTTCTATTCTGTAGCTTTCTTTCTCTATTTAAATAACATTAAACTCTTCCAAAGTGCTCTTTGTATCACCCTGTCTACTTGCCTTACCACCTATTTTTGTGACAACTGCAAAGGTCACTCATTTCTATCGTAGATGTTTGTGGCTCCAACAGTGATTGCTGTGGTGTCACTAGTTACAGGTTGCCATCTTAAAATGTGCTCCTTATCCTAACTGTCAGCCAATCCTCAAACCATGCTCACATAATACCTCCAACTCCATGGGCTCTTATTAAGCAGCCTTATGTGTTGTACCTTATCAAATGCTTTCTAACAATCCAAATACATTTCATCCTCCAATTCCCCTTTACCTACTCAAGGAATTCTGGTAAATTAGTCAGGCATGATTCTCCCCTTCGTGAAGCCATGCTGACTCTCCTTTATCATACCATTTATTTGTAAATGCTCTGCTATTACATTCTTTATAATGGACTCTGGTATGTTCCCTTTAGTTTCCTAAATCTTCCCAATACATTAACTGGTCTATAGTTGCCTGATTTTTAATTTTGCTTAATGAAGGTATTTCTTTGGTGGCATTTCAATCCTCGAGGACTTTCCAGGAATTAAGGATTCCTGGAAGACTACTGCCAATGCATCCACAAAATCTATAGATAATTGCTTTAATATCCGAGGATGCATCCCATCAGGTCCATCTCGGGAACTTATCGTTCTTTTGTCATAGTTTAGTTTCCTTAGCACTTTTTCTCAAGAGGTAATTATTGTATTTATTTTGTCTCCTCCTTCTGCCCCTCGATTATTTAGTAATTTTGGACTGCTTTTTTGTCTTCTACTGTGAAATCTGATGCAAAGTATTTATTCAACTCCTCTGCCAAATCCTGATTCACCATTATTATTTTCCCTTGCCTCATTCTCCAAGAAGCCTATGTTCACTTGCCAGATTACACATCACCAGATCTAAAGTAGCCAGATCCTTGGTTAAGACCATAAGACATAGGAGCAGAAATTAGGCCATTCAGTCCATCAAATCTGCTCCGTCATTCAATCATGGCTGATAAGTTCCTCAACCCCATTCTCCCACTTTCTACTCGTAACCCTTGATCCCCTTGATAATCAAGAACCCATCCATCTCAGTCTTAAATGTACTCAATGACCTGGTCTCCACAGCCTTCTGTGTCAGTGAATTCCACAGATTCACCACTCTCTGGCTGAAGAAGTTTCTTCTTTTCTCCATTCTAGTAGGTTTTCCCTTTACTCTAAGGCTGTGCCCTTGGGTCTTAATCTCTCCTACAAATGAAAACATCTTCCCAACATCCACTTTGTCCAGATCATTCAGTATTCTGAAAGTTTCAATTAGATACCCCCTCATCCTACACTCTAATGAGTATAGTCCCAGAGTCCTCAAATGTTCCTCATATGTTAAGCTTTCCATTCCTGGGACCATTCTCGTGAACCTCCTCTGAACCCGCTCCAGGGCCAGTACATCCTTCCTGAGATATGGGGCCCAAAACTGTACACAATACTCCAAATGTGGCCTGACCAGAGCCTTATAAAGCCTCAGTAGTACATCCCTGCTTTTATATTCAAGTCCTCTCAAAATAAATGCCAACGTTGCATTTGCCTTCCTGACTACTGACTCAACCTACAAGTTTACCTTGACAGAATCCTGGACTCGAACTCCCAAGTCTCTTTGCACTTCAAACTTAGATCAGAACACATTATTTCTGGACCATAGTTGTCTTCCAAATAGAAGATAGGAGCAGGAGTAGGCGACTCGACCCCTCGGGCTACTGCAGAAGTCAGTAGGATCATGGCTGATCATCGAACCATTACCCTAATCCCATTCTCCCCCATCCATATTCCTTGATCCTGTCAGCCACAAGAGCTATATTGAACTCTTTCCTGAAAACACACAATGTTTTGGTTTCAACCACTTCTGTGGCAGTGAATTCCACAGGCTCACCCCTCTCTGGGTGAAGAAATTTCTCCTCATCTCAGTTCTAAAAAGTTTACCATTTATCTTGAAAGAATGACCCCTGGTTCTGGAATCCTCTACCATCGGGAACATCCTACCTGCATCCAACCTGACTCGTCGTGTTTGAATTTTCATAGAATCCCTACAGTGTGGAAACAGGCCATTTGACCTAAGGAGTCCACGCCAACCCTATGAAGAGCATTTCCCATGGCTAACCCACCTAACCTGCACATCCCAGTCACTATGGGCAATTTAGCATGGCCAATCCACCTTAACCTGCACATCTGGCAGATGGAGTACAACGTGGGGAAGTGTGAGGTCATGCACTTTGGCAAGAAGAATAAAAGCATGGACTATTTTCTAGATGGGGGAAAAATTCAAAAGCCTGAAGTGCAAAGAGACTTGGGAGTTCGAGTCCAGGATTCTGTCAAGGTAAACTTGCAGGTTGAGTCAGTAGTCAGGAAGGCAAATGCAATGTTGGCATTTATTTTGAGAGGACTTGAATATAAAAGCAGGGATGTACTACTGAGGCTTTATAAGGCTCTGGTCAGGCCACATTTGGAGTATTGTGTACAGTTTTGGGCCCCATATCTCAGGGAGAATGTAATGGCCCTGGAGCGGGTTCAGAGGAGGTTCACGAGAATGGTCCCAGGAATGGAAAGCTTAACATATGAGGAATGTTTCAGGACTCTGGAACTATACTCATTGGAGTTTAGAAGTATGACGGGGAATCCAATTGAAACTTACAAAATATTAAATGGCCTGAACAGAGTGAAAGTTTGGAAGATGTTTCCATTTGTAGAAGAGATTAGGACCCAAGGGCACAGCCTTAGAGTAAAGGGGAGGCCTATTAGAACGGAGATAAGGAGAAACTTCTTCAGCCAGAGAGTGGTGAATCTATGGACTTCACTGCCACAGAAGGCTGTGGAGGCCAGGTCATTGTGTACATTTAAGACTGAGATGGATAGGTTCTTGATTATCAAGGGGATCAAGAGTTATGGGTAGAAAGCTAGAGAATGGGGTTGAGGAACTTACCAGCCATGATTGAATGGCGGAGCAGACTCATTGGGCCGAATGGCTTAATTTCTGTTCCTATGTCTTATGGTCTTATCTTTGGACTGTGGGAGGAAACCACAGTGGCACGGTGGCTCAGTGCTTAGCACTGCTGCCTCACAGCGCCAAGGACCCAGTTTGATTCCACCCTCGGGCGACTGTCTGTGTGGAGTTTGCACATTCTCCCCGTGTCGGCATGGGTTTCCGTGGGGTGATCTATTCAGGGATGTGCAGGCTAGGTGGTTTAGCCATGGGAAAATGCAGGGTAGGGGGATGGGTCTGAGTGGGATGCTCTTCAGAGGTTTGGCATGGACCCATTTGGCTGAATGGCCTTTTTCCACACTGTAGGGATTCTATATAAAAAACTTCATAGGTTTCTATGAGATCCCCTCTCATCCTTCTAAACTCCAGTGAATCTCTGGATCCAAAGGTCTGGGTTCAAGTCCTATTTGCTTCAGAACTGTGTCATAGCATCTCTGAATTGGCTGATATAAAATATCCGAAAACATCAATTTTTTTTCAATTTGTTTTAATGTTGTGGCCAAATATCTATCATTTGTTTGTATAAAACATAATTAAATGGAAAAGCATAATTTTTAATTCCACTTGTTCTAAAGTTCCTGCTTTGCTGGCAATTCGAAACAAGCTGGATTTTCAGTGAAACTTACTGAGGAAGACACTTTATGAAGTTATTGTGGTTATCCTTGCCACAGTTTCCATTTTCATTTCCTCTTCTATTTGTAATTTCATAACAAACATCTTCAGCAGATCTTGCTCCTATAAGAGAGAAAATAGGAGTGTTAAAAATATTTTCCAGAATTGGTCTATATCACTCCTTGCCAGCCTATCCCCCTGTGACAAGGAAACAGAGTAAGGGAGAATGCATATCTCAGAGAAACAGACTCTGAAATTGAAAGAACATAATATTGACAGCTACCACAGATACCGAGTTGCTTCACATGTGCAATATAAAACACTGCAAGATATGACACTGCGTCACATAGGGAGTTATTTAGGCAAAGATCTAGAGTTTGACTTTAAGGCAGGGGTTGAACAGTGAGAGAACAAGAGATGGAGAGATGGAGGGGAGGCATGAAAGTTTCAGGTCTAAGCAACCGAAAATACAGCTGATAATCGTAAAGCAATTAAAAGTTGATGTTCAAGAAGTGGAAATTCAAGGAGTACAGAAGCCTTGGAGGATTGTAGCCATGGAGGAGATTACAAAAATAGTGAGTGGCCAGGGAGTGACTTGAAAACAATGAGCAGTATTTTATGATTGAAATGTAGTTTACCCAGGAGCCAATGTGGGTCAGCAGGTACACGAGCAGTGGGCGGTCAACATTTGATGAGAATTAGGACACAAGCAGCAGAATTTTGCATGGCTCAAGTTAATACAGAATAGAATGTGAGAGACCAACTTGGATTGTGTTAGAGTAGTCCTTACTTGAGTAACAGTGGCAGGGGAGTTAAGGGAAGTGAGGGGATAGGTAATGTTAACAAGGTGGAAATACATATTTAATGATAGTTTGGATATGTGGCCACATGAACTTGTCAACACCATTCCACCTATTGTACTAATTTAGCCTAAAAGCTGGCAGAGTGGATCAGGAAGGTACAGAAAGCGTAGCACTCGTGATGGACAGAGACAAATGTCTCAAAAATAAAATCACTATTGTCACAACCGAATTAGGAGGGGTTAAATAATCCCTTTCCTTGTCCGACTCCTCCATTGGTTACAACATGGTTTGAATTTATAAAGAAAGATGATATTTGATGCATTTTGCAACTGGCTGAAGCTGGTCGAGCAATTGACTTTTCTGAACTAGGTTTACAGTCATGTGCTCACTAGTGCAGTGAAAAATCTTCAAAGTCGCCACTTAAGGTGCCATCTTGAGTACAACGGTACCGAGGTACAGAATCTTAGGAATAAGTTTAAAAACCAAAGAATTATAGTCCTTTAAGGTGAGAAGACAGAGTAGACAAGCCTTTGCTGTCCTCCAGACCATGTTGGGCCTCACCTCCAGTCCTCACTGAGACCTTGTCTCCAGTCTGCTTTAGGACCTCACCTCCAGACCACTCCAGGACCTCACCTCCAGTCTGCTCTAGGACCTTGACTCCAGACCTGTCCGGGACTTTGCCTCCAGTACACGCCAGGACCTCGCCTCCAGGCCGCTCTGGGACCTTCCTTCCAGGCCACTCCGGGACCTTCCCTCCAGGCCGCTCCGGGATCTTCCCGCCAGATTGCTCCGGGACCTTCCCTCCAGACTGTACTGGGACTTTCCCTCCAGATTGCTCCCGGACTTTCCCTCCAGATTGCTCCGGGACCTTCCCTCCAGACTGTACTGGGACCTTCCCTCCAGATCGCTCCGGGACTTTCCCTCCAGATTGCTCCGGGACCTTCCCTCCAAATCCCTCTAGATCGCTCCCAGACCTTCCCTACAGACTGCGCCAGGACCTCATCTCCAGTCCACACAGGGCTTCACCTTGAGGCTCTCGAGGCCGAGAGTCTGTGCTGAGGCTGAGAGTCTGCATTAGCTTCGCTCAAGGCTCGTGAGGCTGGAATCGTGCTGGCTTCACCTCGGACATCGCCAATGCCGCTTGAGAAGAGGCAGCAAGAAGAAAGAAGCAAAAGAAGACATGGAAAGAAACAGATGGGACGGTTGAGCTCTGGCTCAGGAGTCCTACTCTGCTGCCATCTTCGATCAAGTCAATGGTGGATTACAAAGTGCGAATGTATGACTATAGTATGACTATAGTAACTGGTCAAGGTGGAGCTGATACTGTTTCACAGGAATAGTAGATGGCATGAGGTCACGCTAACATCATCACATCATCCCAAACCTTATGAACAGAGGAGCAGGAGTAGGCCATTCAGCCCATTGGGCCTGCTCTGCCTTCCAATGCACATATGGCTGATCAGCCACTTCAATGCCTCTTCCCACACTATCCCCATATCCCTTTACTTGGTTAGTATTTAGAAATCAGTAGATCACTATCTTGAAAGATAATTAAGAATTGAGGTTCCACAGTCATCTAGATAGAGAATTCCAAAGATTCACAAGCCTTATGTAAAAGAAATTCTCCTCATCTTAGTCCTGAATGGCTTTCCACTTATTCACGTGTTCTATGACATACCACTGGCTTTCTAAGCTTTTTGCTACATCTGCATGTTAATCTTTGATGACTTATTGCTGATGTGACCCATTTTTTTTGTATTTACATTTTCTGACTTCTTACCATTTAAGACAGACTCCTGTATATCTGTACCTCCGATGCAAGGGGATAACCTCATATATTTCACTCTATTATACCTGTGATATTCTTGCCCACTCACTAAATCTTCTCAAAGTTACTTTGTATTTATATTATCTGCAATTTTGGAAATATATTTGGTCCCCCACATCAAAATCACCAAGATAAATTGTGAATGACTGCAGCCCAAATACTGATTTCAGTCTCAGGCTTGCTGTCGTGCTCCAGCAAAGCTCAGCATAAGTTGGAAGAACAGCACCTCATTTGGAAACCCTGCAGCCCTGGGGTGGCACTGTGATTAGCACTGCTATCTCACAGCACCAGGAAGCTGGGTTTGATTCCAGCCTGGGGCAACTGTCTGTGTGGAGTTTGCACATTCTTCCTCGGTCTGTGGGTTTCCTCTGGGTGCTCCAGTTTCCTCCCACAGTCCAAAGATGGGCAGGTTAGGTGGATTAGCCATGCTAAATTGTCCATAGTGTCCAGAAAGGTATAGGTTAACGGGATTAGCCATACAAGATGCAGGATTACAGGGATAGGGTGGTGGGAGAGTCTGGGTGGGATGCTCTTTGGAGGGTTAGTGTGGACTTTTTGTACCAAATGGCTTGTTTTCACACTGTCTGGATTCTGTTCTATCAAATGTGACAAGAGAACAAGCAATATTGGATCTCATCATGAGAAATGAACCTGATTTAATGAGTGACCCAGTTGATGGTGAGCATTTGTCATATACTGATCAGAACATGGTTGATTCTCATCAAAGGCAAACTTTAAAGGGATGAGCCAGAGACTGTCCACAGTAAACTGGGAAACTCTGCTAATTGCTAAAACAACCAAAGAACAGTGGAGCAAAAATAGAAATTGCTGGAAAAGCTCAGCAGGTCTGGCAGCATCTGTGAAAAGAAATCACAGATAATGTTTTGCATCTGGTGACCCTTCCTCAGTTCTGTTCCAGTTCTTTTTGAGCAATTTCTGTTTCTGATTCTGATTTACAACATCCATAGTTCTTTCTGTTTTTATTAAGGAACAGTGAAGAATGTTAAAATGCAGAGATCCTTCAGCATGATCTGGACAGGTTGGGTGAGTGGGCAAATCAATGGCAGATACAGTATAATTTGGATAAATGTGAGGTTATTCAC